CCGAATGGCTCTCCGGCGTCGAGTGAGTCCGGAGGGGCTCCCCTGATTGGAAGATTCATTTCTCCCCCCCCCCTAATTGCGAAGAGGGAATTAAAGCAACATCTATCGATCGAGAATAATATTCTCAATGAATGACAGTGGCTTCATTTCTTAATCTCTATTAGGAGAGGAGGAATAAATTTTCAAAGCGCGCAGTAACTCCGAACAAGTTCTTCTCATTCAAAAATTAATTTCTCCCCTCCCTAATCGAGATGAAGTAATGAAACCAAAGCCTACCGATTGAGAATTATCGTTTTAATAAATGACATCGGTTTCATTTCGTAATCTCAGTTAGGAACGGAGGAATGAATTTTCAAAAGCGCGGAGAAACCCCGAACGGCTCTCCGACGTCGAGTGAGCCTGGAGGGGCTCCCCTGAATGGAAGATTCATTTCTCCCCCTCGCCCCCTAATTGTGAAGAAGGAATGAAAGCAACAACTGTCAATCGAGAATTATATTCTCAATAAATGACAGCGGTTTCATTCCCTAATCTCTATTAGGACAGGAGAAATGAATTTTCAAAGCGCGCAGTAACTCTGGACAAGTTCTTGTCATTCAAACCGATTCAGGCCTACCGATCGAAAATTAAATTCTCAATGAATGACACCGGTTTCATTTCTTAATCTCAGTTNTATCAGTGTTTTTTTTTCAATCGCTTGTTTATTTATTCAGAGCGAATTTAATATGTTGCAATTTATATCTTGACATTGAATCGATGAATTCCTTTTTTTTTCTTCCATATTTTTTATTAGAACATTTACCACGAATTTTGTCTTGATCGTACCCGCGAATCTCCTATGGATTCAAAGTTAAACACAATTTTCTAGCTCCAACCCCTAAATCCGGCGCCGGGAATGAGAACCTTTTGTGCGAGAGAGAAGTCTCCGTCTCGCTCCCACTCNACCCGCGAATCTCCTATGGATTCAAAGTTAAACGCAATTTTCTAGCTCCAACCCCTAAATCCGGCGCCGGGAATGAGAACCTTTTGTGCGAGAGAGAAGTTTCCGTCTCGCTCCTACTGCCTACAGCATTGTACAGACCATTTGCGCATGCGCGCCCGGGCCTGTGGAACATCACGGACTGAATGCGAGAACAAGAATCATTTGAGGTTTTTCGTCAGCCGTTCGCTCTCTCTCCCTCT